CGAAACACCTTTATTATCTAAACTCCATCCATTTGAAAATAAACTATTTTTTTATTATTATTTTTATCTAAATTAAGAATTCGAACACAATTTTGTAATATTTATTTATATTAATCTTAGGAAAAACTAAAAATAAAAAAGATAAAGTCAAATTTTACACACACAGAGGCTGACCCAAAACCCTATACCCTCTGAAGCACCCTCGGCTTCTCCTTCTCGCAGTGAAAAATAATATTTTCGCATAGAACGAACACCATTACTTCAGCTGCCGGGAATCAGTGACAGAAGGAGAGCAATGGATTTTTGGGGCCCTCCCAAAAACCCAGCAAACATCGTGTTCTGGTTGAGGCAGCCGCCGGGAGGATCACAGAGCGTCCCATCGAGATTTTTCTTTTGTTTTTCCGGGGCAGGTATGTACACTGTTGGATAATTTCTCTCAATTTTAAAATTAGTTGGATCATGTAATTGATTTCTTCGGAGATTGCTGCTCTTTGGGTTGTTATGATGGAATAGATAATGATTTCCCAACCGCTTGTCTGATCCTATATATAATTTTCATGAATATTTACTTCGGTTCTTGCTTTATTCTGCGAATGAGCGAGTATCTGATGCCTGCATTCGTTCGTGATGTTGGGTGGTTGCTTTTTTGGTTTCTTCCCTTTTCACGAATACCCCATAACTCATCCAAATCTCAGCTTTGTATCCTTGACCATTTCTTTCCATGCTTTTTGCGTACAAGGAACACCAAGACGAAAGCTTTTAGAGCAGTAAGAATTCTCTCGCCCCAACCTCAGAAACCCCATCTCAATCCAATTCCTCTGTTTCGCTTCTTCTCGGCACAAACGCAACAACAAGACCAAAGCTCCACCGCAGAAACCAGCACCACTGCTCTGTCTTTGATGGTGCTGAATTTGCCATCCCCATCTTTGATTCAAAAAATACCACCCAAGAAACCCGCTGGGATGACACAGATAGAATCCTCTTTGTGGTGGAGAACCACAGTCTCTCTCCGTTGGGATAATGGGTGCTCTGAATGCTGGGAAGTCTTCACTGACTAATTACATGGTTTGTGGATTACTTTTGTGCAGTGTTTAGGTGTTATTGGATGAGTATGAATGACTATTGAATTTTAAGGCATTTGCCGTCCGTAACTCTTTAGCGCTAGATAATTTGGTGTTACTATTTTGCTCTGTTTTGGATAATGATATTGACAGTATTTGTTACTTAAGACATCTTATGGTTTGTAAACTCTGAGAGAAAAAAATAATTTTACAAGTTGAGTGGATCTTTCTTGCCTTATAACTGTTGTTCTTCTCCAGTTCAACTCTGTGGTTTTTCATAAATTTAATTTTGTCCATCATGTCTATATTCTGAAAACAGCCAGCAATATTGCATTTTGGAGACTTCAGATGCTTTTACATTCAAGAATAGCCTTTTTTTTTCCCTAAAGTTTCACAATTTTCAAAATTGTCAAACCAATTTATTTTATTTCTTCATTTTGAGTCATTTTATCACAATTTTCCCTCTAAACTGTTGAAGTAGTATGCTCCCTTGTGAGTGTGAGTTAAGATCCCACGTCAAAGAAATATAGAAGGAAAGAGTGGTTTATATATGTGAAGACCCATCGACTAGTTTTTTGGTTCCTATGTGGTGTCGAAACATGTTATGGACCATTTTATGTCATCCCGCTAAGCTGTATGTCTCCCCAACATAAACATTACCCTTGTGGTTCCCAGCTGGTGACGTTTATTAAGAAAGCACTATTTTGCATGTAGAAACCTTTGTGACTGATTATGCGCTGGTGCATTTTGTAAGTAATTTTAATGCCTAAACTTTCAAAATATAGAGTCTTATGTCTCAATTGCACTCAATTGCAGAATGAAAATATTGATGGATATGCAGGTCATTCTCAAAATTAACGTGGTACTCAATAAGTCAATATGTTGGTAACAGGACCATACAGCATTGGTACAGCTCTTATGGGGAGAGGCTTATGGCAGTGAGACAGAATGCGAGTGGGTTTAGTTCAGAAAGATTTCCAGAAACTCAGGGAGCCTAGATAAAAATTATGAGCAAAACAATTGGCATTTTCAGCAAAACCAAAATTATCTCTCCACTGGGGGTGCTGGAATGTATCAGCACCAGCAGAATCCAAGTGCACCACATTATTTGCAGTAGCCAGACAAGATTCATGATAAAATGGTGATTTCTCAATTGTCACCTACCCCTACCAGATAACATGGCTTGCTAAGAATGGTCTTGGTGAAGATGCCATTGATTTATTTACCCAATTTAAG